TTAGGGTTTAGGGTTTCGGGTTTCAGGTTTAGGGTCTAGGGTTCCGAGAAACCCCTCCGTGTACTTATTGTTACTAGTATTGCTATTATTACAATTGCTACAATTCTTACTATGATGACTGCTGCTACTAATCTTGCTACTACTAAGCCTATGATTCTACGACTAATGCAGATGTCACGAACTAGTACTAGGTATTGCTATGATTACTAGCACTTCTATTGATACTTTGTCTTTACTAGCGTTCAATGATCCCTACCCCCTCCCCACCCCTCCCCCTCCCCCTTACCCCAACAAGACAATCTGCAGTTTAGGGTTTAGGGCTCAGGGTTTCAAAGTGCCTCGTGCTTGTGAATGACATCCGTGTGACAACGGAGCGCAAAGGAGTTTAGGAGGCTTAGTGCTCCAAGTTTTGCAGTTTCGCATACAAGGGGGGAAGGGGGGGGGGGTAAACCAATACAAGGAGCGCATGATCTTAGCGCAAGTCATGTTACACCAACTAAGGGACCCTGCAGTTTTCCCTGTATTGCTACGCCTGCTTCGCCTGCTGTCTTGGCAGCCCAAAAACCATATCACAATAAGGGCACCCTTTTTGGAGTTGGTTACTTACTTTGTAAGGGGACTTTTGCTACGAACCAACAAGGAAAACGAGCTACCACTGGGCTCCCTTAAGAAGTGCGGCCGAGCTTCTTGGTCGGCTTGCGGGACACCGCTCCCGATGCCGCAGAGGTGCGGGCCTGGGCTCCACACGCGTGCCTCGCGCACGCCTGGGCTCCGCAGACAGCGCCCGCGGCTAGCCAGCGGCCCTTGGTGCCAGCTCTTAGGATGGACGTCTCGGCCACCCTTGACCCTAAACCTACCGAAAGCACTCTATACACACGCACACATACCCAGACACACAGACATGTATAGATGTATATATATGTATACACACACACGAATCCATGCATGTCATGAAATCACACAGATACACATACATATATATATATATATATACATATATGTAAATACACACTCACAATTAATTACATGCATGTGGTCCTGCCTTGCCTCCGGTAACTACTTCGGGAGGACATGCCCCCACCCCTTTCTTCTTCAGGGTGCAGGGTGGCCAGACCGAGGCAACCTAAGAAACCACGCAAGGTTCCGGAGCCCTAAACCCTATAAACCTAAACCCTGTACCCTAAACCTTGAAGCGCTACACTCCGAAAGCGCAAAGCTTGAAGCAGCCAGCCCGACCCCTGAGAAAACTTTGTCAGGGTCCATGTACCTCGTTCTTATGTACTTACGGGCCCTAAAGTCCCTAAATAGGCGTTACTTTTAAGGGCCAAGTATTCCCGATTTAGGTACACGGACCCTTAGAGTCTGAGAGAACTCCAAGGATCAGCTTCCAGTTGCTGGTACCTGGTGCGCCCTCGGGCCAGGCCCGGCACAGCCGCTCGCGCGCCGAAAGCCGGGACGCAGTGACTTCCCCAGGCCAGGGAGCGTGACGTCGAGCTAATGGAAGCCATGAGCTCCAGATGGTAGGGAGATGTTTAGGGGCTTCGGGGTTTTCGGGTCTAACCCTTTAAGGGCTTCCTTAATTGTGGGGGCTTGGGGTCTGGGGCTTTTAAGGGATTCCCACAGTCACGACCAAGAAGCAGTTGATTTGGGCTTGCACAGGAACAACTCGGCTGCAGTTTAAGGATCCCAGAAGACGTCAGCCACATAAGGCACAAAAAGAAGAAGCAACAAATGATCAAAGTGGTTTAGGGTTTCGGGTTTCGGGTAAGGGTTTAAGGTGAGCAACATGGCAGCACCGCTTAAGTTCGCACTGGAGAACCTACGGCTCAGCATCTTGCCTCGTAAAACCCAGTTAGCAAGCTCGGGGCTTGCCAAAAAAACAAAGGCTCTTTGGCAACTCTCATGTTTGTTGAACAACTAGGGTTCAGGGTTTAGGGTTTAGGGTTCAGGGTTCAGGGTTCACGATTTATGGTGTAGAGCTTAGGGTTTAGGGTTAGGGGCTTCCGGGTCTGAGCATGAAGATTTCTAGCAGATCTCTGAGCCAAAGCGCTTGGGATGTGATGGACAGGCCCCCGCAAAGGGTTTAGGGTTTAGGGTTTGGGGTTTAGGGTTTAGGGCTCGGGGGCTTCCGGTCTAAACTTCCCTACACCGGGTTCGCCCCAGAGTTCAAGTCCTGAACCCTGAGCCCCCCGGCCGGGCACAGAATGGCCTTAGGGCTTGTGGGCTTATCTAGACCCCAAGAGCAACCTGGGAATCAAAACTGGGTGCCCTTTTTGGTGTAAAGGGGGCGTAGAAGGGGAACCTAAGCCCCCCCAAAAAGGGAATAAGGGACTACTCTGGGTCGCAGATACCCTAAGCCCTAAACCCTAAACCCTAAATCCCGAAGCTCTAAAGCAGATATCCTAAGCCCTACAGCCCAAACCCTACGCGAAGCCCCTAAACAAGAAGGGGGGGGGGGGGGGGGGGCGGCGATGAGAACCGAACTTCCCTGCCCATGGCCTCCGGGCAACCCTGTGAGGGTGACTCGCACGGGTACCTCCGAGCTTTCGGGCTCAGGTTGTGGGGCTTTGGGGGGAGGGGGGCGGGTAGGGCTTAGGGTTTTTAGTGTGTTTTTTGGAGCTTCAGGGTTGAGGAAGTTAGGAATTGTGGAGCTTCTCAGGGTTACGGATTTCCAGGGCTTTGGGGGCTCAGGGTTTAGGACTTGGCATGTGCGCCTTCGTGCACAAAAGCAAGTTTTCAGCAGCCTAGGCATCTTAGTTTCGTGAGGCGAGAAAAGAACCTCATTCTGTGCACCCCTAAACCCTGCCCCCCTACACCTCTACACCCCCCCAAACCCAAAAACTTCTTCATAAAAACCTACTGAACCCGCTTAACTCCTAAGCTCCCCCACCCCTCCCCCGAACCCCTTGACCCCACACACAAACCCCTCGAAGCGCCCCAAACCCCCTAACCCCCCAGACCCCGTGAACCCTATGAACCCTAAAACCCTCTTAAACCCGAACAAAAATCCTAAACCCGAAAAAACCGTGCATTAACAAAAACACTTCACCCCCACCCGCCCTCCCCCCAAAAAAAAGTGACATGAAGGACACGCAGGTTAGTGGAATTAGGGGGAGCGCGAGGTTTTCACTCGCTAATCTGGTTTGGGCCGCAGGTTTTGGGTTTAGGGTTTAGGGCTTCAATAATTCAGCATAACAAGGCTCTAGTACGTAATCAGTCTTTTGCACAAGTCTTCAACTGAATATTCTACGCGTCAGAGACTAGGGTTCGGGTTAAGGGAAGGTTGTTTTTGGAAGACCTGTCAGGATTTCGGCAGTGTGCTAGAAGCATAAATCCTGCAACACGCAGCCACCCCATCCTCCCTAACCAAACCGTAAACCCTAAACCCGCAGCCCTAAACCCTAGAAGGAATCAAGGCATAGGGTGTTTTGGGTTATGGCATCAAGATCGCCTTTTGTGCCGCCGGAGGAACGCACGCCCGTGCAGCAGATGTGCAGACAGCCGGAAGCCCTAAACCCCAAACCTGAATTCCTAAAGCTCGCGATAGCCTGAGATCCCCATAGCCCCCTGTGAAAGCACACAAAACCCTCCAAAGCCCATAAGCCCGAAAACCCTACCGCTGCAATGTATATTTGGACAATACGTCATCCCTAAACCCTAAACCCTAAACCCTAAACCCTAAACCCTAAACCCTAAACCCTAAACCCTAAACCCTAAACCCTAAACCTCTCTCTCTCTCTCTCTAAGTGCGGAGCCCGGGTTTAGGATTTACATTCAAGCTTAGGATGTGCACTCGGAGACTGGGAGATAAAGGAAAGGAAGGCCTACTCGGGTTGAGGGCTTAGGGTCGCCTAGCCTTCAGCCCTCTAGAAAAAGCACGGTGCAATCACCAGGGCTTAGGGTTTAGGGTTTAGGGTTTAGGGGTTCAGGGTTTAGGGTTTAGGGTAACACCACTGGACCCTCGAAGCTCTCCTGTGCTTGACCTAAACCCTGAGCCAGTTGACCCAAAGGTCCACATCTGCCTGCCTTAGTATATACTTTTGCCCTAAAGCTGGTACAGAGGAAGCCCTTGAAGGCTCAAGTACATACTATACAGGTGCTGGGATCCATAGGGTTCGGAACCCTAAACCCTAAACCCTAAACCCTAAACCCTAAACCCTAAACCCTAAACCCTAAACCCTAAACCTTTAGGGTTTGGGGAGCCTGGGTGTGCTTCAGCACATGGGCGTTCAGGATCCCTGAAGGGGAGGGCGCAATCCACAAGCCTAGGCCATTGCTTTTTATAGGTTTAGGGTTTAGGGTTTAGGGTTGATTCTCGGGGTGTTCTTGGGCGTTATAGGGTGTTACAGGGTTTACAGGGCTTGTAGGATCATAGGGTGTTGCAGGATTACAGGGCGTTATCGGGTTTATAGGACTCTAGGGTGTTGTAGGCTGTTGTAGGACTTATATGGATTTGAGGGCCTCTGCATCCGAAGGTCTTCTGGGGTCTAGGGCCGGAACCCGCATGACATGACCACTGCAACCTGCAGCATAGGGCAGGCTACGGCGGTGTCGAAAGCATCTGTCGCTCTCCGACAGACGCGCAGCTACGACTTGGGGCGTCGTCTCTCGGATGCTGCGCTCCAGTGGCCGACATAAGCGCCACCTCAGGAGTAAATCAACGGGAACCTTTAGGCGTGCAACCTTGATCAGAACTTTAAAGCCTATTTAACCCCAGGTCAGTACTGAGGGTGGCCAAAACACCCGAAGGCACAGGGCCATGACCTAAAGATACCCTAAACCCTAAGCCCTAGTTTAAACCATAAACCCTAAACCCTACACCTTAAACCCTATACCTAAGCCCTAACACCTAGACCTTAAACCCTGCCCTCCTACAACCCTAAACCCTACAACCCTACATGCTCTCACTGATGTGCCTTTGGGTCCCATTCAATTCAGGGATACTAGGGGTACAGCCACCCAAGCGTGATAGCCCAAATCCGCAGCGCAGGGCCAAAGACCTACACCCGCGAAAGCTCTATCTGCAAGATCACTCGCTTGCCTTTGGTGACGGGAGTTATCCAGTGGCGGAGCTTCTCACCTGCGACGCGATGCTTGAGGAAGTCGGTTGTCGGGCTTGCTGGAAGCTTCCCTGCACCTTTTCGCAGCCTTCAGATTTCTGCTGCTAAGGCATGTAAGGCTAGGGGTTGAGGGCTCAAGGAATCAGAAGACCTGACCAGAATCCCTCAGACCTCAACATGCCCACAGGTACATTTCTTTGCGCTGCGTTTCACGTTGAACCCTAAACGCTAAATCCCTGACCCAGTCTCTGCTACGTTCCCTTCCCTAATCGTCGGTTTGGGTGGGACTTAGGGGTTCGAGTCTATAGGGTTTAGGGTTTAGGGTTTAGGGTTTCAGGGCTTTGGGGGCCTTGGGAACTTCAGGGGCTTTGGGGGCTTTAGGGGCTTTAGGGGCTTTGGGGTTTTGTGTTTTAGGGGCTTTAGGGGCCTGGGTTTAGGGGTTGAGGGCTCAAGCCACAGCTCCAGTCTGGGGTTTAGGCTTCAAAAGAAGCGGGCCCTCGTTTAGCAAAAGGCTAGAAAGGGTTTAGGGTTTAGGGTTTAGGGTTTAGGGTTTAGGGTTTAGGGTTTAGGGTTTAGGGTTTAGGGTTTAGGGTAAACCTTCAACCTTGACCCTTTGGGAGCTCAGGGTTTCAGGTTTCGGGTTTAGGGTTTCGGGCTTTGCGGTGTTTAAGGCTTCAAAGGGAGCTCCACATGGGACCCCATTTACCTACAGGTTTAAGGGTTCTACATACTGAATAGGGGTACTTACTACTCAAGCGTAGGTGCATAGGGTCCCAGGGATAGCTTGTCTATATCCCTAAACCCTAAACCCTAAACCCTCAACCCTAAACCCGCGAAGGCCTCGGAAGAGCACCGCGTCCCCCAGCCCGAGCGTGACGTGGCGAGCCGGATCCTCAGCCGGGGAAACCGAAAAGCAGGGCACCCTAAACCCTAAACCCTAAACCCTAAACCCTAAACCCTAAACCCTAAACCCTAAACCCTAAACCCTAAACCCTAAACCCTAAACCCCTAAACCCTAAACCCTAAACCCTAAACCCTAAAACCCTAAACCCCTAAACCCCTAAAGCCCTAAAGCCCTAAAGCCCTATACCCCTAAACACCTAAACCCCTAAACCCTAAACCCGACTCCAGACCCAAAAGCCCCGCACCCAACCTCGAAACCCTCGAGCCTTTACTTAAAAACAAAAAACGAAGCCCTGCTTCGGGTTTAAGTCATTTCGGGGGTTTTAGGTCTTTCAGGTTTAAGTCTTGTATAGGGTTTTTCAGTTTTTTGTAGGATTCTTTAGGGTTTATAGGCCTAAATCTTTGAGGGTTTGTAAGGCTTGCAAGCTCTAGGGTCCCACGCCCTAAACTAAACCCAAAACCCTAAGCCCTAAACCCGAAACCCGAGAGCGATCAGGGGCCGGGGCATCCTCCGAATCGGCCGAGGCGAAGCAGTTCATTCCGCCTTCAAACCTTTGGGGTTTCAGGGCCCTAGGGTTTAGGGTTTAGGGTTTCAGGGTTTTAGGGTTTCAGGGTTTCAGGGCTTTGGGGGCCTTGGGAACTTCAGGGGCTTTGGGGGCTTTCGGGACTTTAGGGGCTTTGGGGTCTTGGGTTTTAGGGGCTTTAGGGGCCTGGGTTTTCATGCTCTGAACTCTGAACTAAATTTTACTTCGGTTTTTAGGGCATTGGGCCTACGCGAATCGGGGCCAATCGGGGTTTTAGGGCTTTGGGGTTTTGGGCTTTCGGGGTCTTATGGATTCAAATTCAAGGTTTAGAGGTTAGGGTTTCAAGGTGGGCTGGAAAGTTCTTGGGTTTAGGGTCTCAAAGTGTGAACTTTGCAGCTTAACAATCAAGGCTTAAGATTTCAAAGCCTGAAACCCTAAGCCCTAAACCCTCGACCCTAAACCGGCTTAGACCCTGTCGGAACTTGGGGTGCCTGCAGCCTTTCTCCATGTTGGGTATCCAACCCCCTACGAATCTAAACATTCTCCCTATGTTATAGGGTTCTTAAGGGGGTTGAGAGGGCGGGGGGCTCTGCAATGCAACCTAAGGTTCCCTAATACTTAAGGGCGCCCTAAAACCCTAAACCCTAAACACAAACGTCCAAGACTCTTCGATTCCGGAACCCTAACCCCAAACCCTAAACCCTAAACCCTAAACCCTAAACCCTGAACCCTATAACTATGCCACAAACCCTTCGACTCAGGGTTTTCTGCGGACTTCGCCCGGGGTCGGGGCCCAGGTGGGGGGAGGTTGAAGAGGCTCTGGGTTCGGATTTGCTTTCGCCAAACATCCCAACCCTAAACCCTAAACCCTAATTGAGGGTTTAGGGTTTAGGGTTTAGGTTTTAGGGTTTAGGGTTTAGGGTTTAGGGTTTAGGGCCCGAAACCCCAAAACCTAACCTCCTTGAACTTGTTGGGGTTCCTGGGGGACGACATGAACTCTAAAAGCGTTTATGGCCCTTGTGTTGGGAAGGGCTGTTAGTATAAGGGGGAACATCCCAAGCCGTATGCCTTAGTAGGGGGTTGCAGTATAGGGGAGACGACACGGAATTTTAAGGGTGCACGTCGTCTCTAAGGCATGGGGCGTGTTAGGGGCTTGCAAGGGGTTCTTGGACTAAACCCTAAACCCTAAACCCTAAACCCTAAACCCTAAACCCTAAACCCTAAACCCTAAACCCTAAACCCGGGCCCCGGCTCGCTAGGATCCGTCAGCAGCACAACCTCCGCAGCGAAGGGCAGGGGCAGCTCCCGTGCTCTTGCAGCGATGAGGTTTAGGGTTTAGGTTTAGGGCTTAGGGCTTAGGGCTTAGGGCTTAGGGTTTAGGGTTTAGGGTTTAGGGTTTAGGGTTTAGGGTTTAGGGTTTAGGGTTTAGGGCTTAGGGCTTAGGGCTTAGGGCTTAGGGCTTAGGGTTTAGGGTTTAGGGTTTAGGGTTTAGGGTTTAGGGTTTAGGGTTTTGGGTTAGGGCTTAGGGCTTAGGGCTTAGGGCTTAGGGCTTAAGGTTTAGGGTTTAGGGTTTAGGGTTTAGGGTTTAGGGTTTAGGGTTTAGGGTTAGGGTTTAGGAGTAGGGTTTAGGGTTTAGGGCTTAGAGTTTAAGGTTTAGGGTTTTGGGGTGTTGGGGCTTAGGGTTCAGGAGTTCAGGTTTTCGTTGTTGAGGGTTGTAGGCACAAGTGGTTCCACAAGGCCTGACACAAGCTAGCGTCTAGACCTTAAGCTCTATGACTTTAGAATCTTGTCCCAACAACAGAGAGAGAGAGAGAGAGAGAAACAAATCAAATATCAAAACAGACACGCAGACTCGCTGATAAAGGTCGTTCTTCTTTGTCGCTCTCCATCTCGCTCTCTCTCTCTCTCTCTCTCTTTCCCTCTCTCTCCTGTCTCATGCTCCCTCCCTCACTGCCTCCCTCCTTCCTCCCTGCAAAACCCGAAAGGAAGGAACCCTTCCCCCCCCCCCCCCCCCCCCCCCCCCGTTTTTATGAACTTCTCGTTAGGGCTGTCTGCCAACACAGTTTTGTAGGGGTCAAGTATTGCGGCAGTGTGATTTCTACGTCCCATGCAAACACCTGACAGCTTAGGGCTTAGGGCCTAGGGTTTTAGCAATCCCCATTATTGTAGCACCATGTAGTCGTCAATGGCCTCTGGAGGGGAATTTGGGTTCGGGGTTCGTTTTATGCGATGCGGGTCGAGGCGTTGCAAACAGCCCTAAACCCTATAAACCCTAAACCCTAAATCCCAAACCCTAAACCCTAAACACTTGCGGGAACCCCTGCACCTGCACCTCCTCAAAGGCCCTACCTAAAACAAATAAAACTACCACTTCGAGCATCCCCACCCTGACCCTTGAATCCAAGCCCCTCTCTGCACTAAATGCCTGAAACCGCAAACCTACGTCCCTTTCGGAAGCAGGGGGTTTGTTACCCTGAGCTCTAAACCTAACTTATGAAACTTCTGCCACCTTGCTGCGCGACCCCCAGTCAGCTCCGGTATAGTTGCCCGCCTGCGCCTCCTTGGCCTGCTTATTGCGTCTGGCCACATTCCGGTGCAGTTGCCTGCCTGGGCCCCTTTGGCCTGCTTATTGCATGTGGCCCCATTTCCGGTACAGTTGCCCGCCTGAGCCTCCCTGGCCTGCTTGGTGTCCTGAATCTCGTACTCCTTGCTGTCTGCCCGTGGTCCTTAATGCTGTACTGCCTTTTGTCCTGAGAGTCGCGTCACATAATGTGCGTTGCCGCTTTGTCCTTAAAATCTAACAACCCCACTTGTCCGGTGGGGAACTGAAAGCCCGGAGAGAAGAACAAAAATCACCCTGCACCCCCCACCCGCAAAGAAACAAAACACACACACACACACACACACACACACACACATATATATATATATATAGATTATATATACACACCTAAAACCTCAAAGCGGCCGGGCAGCGATGGTGACAGCAGCGTGGTTGTCCACATGAGGCTCTATGCTGCCTGCAATATCACTGGTTTGGGGTGTAGGGTTTCGGGTTACGGTCCAGAGGGTCTAGGGTTTAGGGTTTAGGGTTTAGGGGCCAGTACTCTATCCCCAACACCCAAAACCCTGCAACATCTAGAAGGACGACATCCCCATGTAGCCCTAAGGGCCCATGTACCTTAGTATTTTATACTTGGGCCACAGAGTCTTAAGGCCAAAAATATTCCCTATTTAGGTACATGGACCCTTCGGGTAGTACCTTGCACTACTCTTTGGGTTTAGGGTTTAGGGTTTAGGGTTTAGGGTTTAGGGTTGATGGAGCAAGGGAGATCTACTTTCCAGATAGTGGACATCAGGCTTCTTTGCAGTGCGACTGAGCTTCGCTCTGAAAGCTCGCAGAGTTGGTGCAGGGTCTTGGGGTTTAGGGTTTAGGGTTTAGGGTTTAGTCGGGTCTACGGATCGGTGCAAGCCTAGAAAACCAAACCCGTAACCCCCGTCTGCCCGAAGAGGAGCCTGGTATGCCGTCTTTTGCCTCGTAGACAATGTACTCCACCTGGCAAGGGCTTAGGGTTGAGGGCTTAGGGCTTAGGGTTTAGGGCTCAGGGTTTGGGGTTTAGGCATAGAATGCCCTCTCGGAGTAGGGATTCCACTTGAACCCTACGCCTTCAATCGTGCCAGAGGAGAGCAGAGCCCAATAAGTAAACGCTGTAAGCAAGGCACCAAGATCGCTGAAAGACAGCGCTGCCCGAAGCTCTTAAAAGAACAAAAGCCCTAAACCCTAAACCCTAGATCCTAAACCCTTAAACCCTAAGCCCCTAAGCCCCAAACCCTAAACCCCAAACCCTAAACCCCAAACCCTAAACCCCAACCTGCACACCTAGTATTCAATTGCCCTGCCTCGGGGTAGGTCACTTCAGATCGCGGCAACCTCGGCCAGGTAACTACTTGCGCTGTTTGCTCATTTGGCGGTGTCCGAAAATAAGGGTACTCTTTATGTTATTTTTCTTTGGGGTGTAGGGTTCAGGGTTTAGGGCTTAGGGTTCCTAGAATGCCTCAAACCTAAACTTCAAGTCCTGGACTCTGACCTCCTCCCCACGTCCTAAAACCTGAGCCTTAACCATTGCCTACTAAAGGACCGGTTTCAGGGTCGAGCCTGACCAGACCCGAAACGCTAAAACCCGTAAACCCTATACGCCCGAAAAAACTCCATATCAGACTCCCTCTCTCTCTCTCTCTATATATATATATATATGTATGTACCGTTTCATCCCTATTTTCAGCTCTATCCTAAGCCATAAAAAGGCACTGGCCCCTAAGAGTCCTACTTCGTTGAGGAATTACAAGAGAAACGCCTACGAACATCACATGTCCGGAGCTCCTGGATCATCCCCACAGGTTTAGGGGTTGCGGTTGAGGGTTTCAGCATGTGGCCAGCAATGACGGCCCAGGAAGCTTCTGCGTCTTATCCCCAGGCGGCTCTTGTGCCCATTCAAGAGGAGATGCCAGTATGGCACAGACGGGGTTCTCGGGCCCCCAGAAGTCTGGCGCACTGCTCGCGTACCAAGAGACACAAGGGAATCTGCCCCTCTAACATGGAAGCAGGGGTTTGCAGATGATTAAGGGCTTAGGGTTTGAGAATCCTCGTTGCAAGGTGCTTTAAATAAGGGCAAGGAGGGGAATTTGAGCTGGCTGCTTGAGGACGGTGGCTTAGGCACTAGAGTTTAACTATCCGAAGCCCCACAGCCTTAAGCCCAAATTAGAACAGGACTTTTTTTTTTTGGGGGGGGGCTATTATAGTATAGATATAAAGGGGACATATGCTATTCGTAGTTATTCCGACCGCTATCGTAACCGTTCTTCAACTTTAACTCAGCTCAGCACTCGTAGGTTAACAAAAGTTGCTGTAGTAATGCTGACTGGTACTGCATCCTCAACGCACACTAAGCACCTCAACCCTGGCTTAAGAAACCCTAAACCCTAAACCCTAAACCCTAAACCCTAAACCCGAAACCCTGCCAGATGCCCGGCTTCTGCCAGAGCATGGCATCTGCCCAGGCCATGGTCGTCATCAGCTTGGTGTAGAGCCCGTGACCTGGGTGTCCGGCCGATAGGGTTTAGGGCTCAGGGTTCAGCATCTCAGGTCCAAGTAATCACTAGTGTAGCAGCTTACAGGCACCCGAAAAGAACCCAACCACCCACCCACCCACCCACGAGAATTCCATACCATGAAGATATGAAAAGCCCAAACCCGAAGCCCTAAACTCTAAACCCTACACCCGAAGCCCTTGGAACTCCAGGCCTTGAACCCTGAACCCTATAGGCCCTGAACCCTAAAGCCCTAGACCCCCTACACCGTCGGCCCTGGGGCACCCTGAACTCGAGAACCCTGAGCCTTGACCTTGCCCTATCTGTTTTTGGGGTTTAGGGTTTAGGGTTTAGGGTTTAGGGTTTAGGGTTTAGGGTTTAGGGTTTAGGACAACCTTGCTCAATCTTTTTTATGACCTTGCCAAATCTTTATGCACAGTATCATCTTACCACCTTGCAATCTGTTGTTGACCTTGCCCAATCGGTTCATGACCTTTCCCAATTTTTTTGACCTTTCCCAATATGTTTATGGACCTTTCCCAATCTGTTGATGACCTTGCCGAATCAACCCTAAACCCTAAACCCTAAACTCATAAATCGATTGGGCAAGGTCATGAAAAGATTGGCCAAGGTCACAGGTCAGCCGAAGGACCGGGAGTATTTCGTTTCTCTTCTCTGGTTCTTAAGAAAAAAACCCCAAACCCTAAACCCTAAACCCTAAACCCTAAACCCTAAACCCCTAACCCCTAAACCCTAAACCCTAAACCCTACGCAACTTCTGGAGTCGCGCTGGCACTTAGCCCATCGCCGTGCGCTCGGAGAGGCAGTTCCTGCGCAAGAACTGCTCTAGCCCTAAACCCTAAACCCGAAACCCGAAACCCTAAACCCGAAACCCTAAACTCTTGAAGTCCTCGAACCTGACACATGGACACCCACCGCTTTCGCACTCAGAGGCCCTTCTAAATACTGAAGCTCTGATTACTTAGGGTTTAGGGTTTAGGGTTTAGGGTTTAGGGTTAAGGGTTAAGGGTTTAGGGTTTAGGGTTTAGGGAAACCACGGGCTTCACAACAGAAAAGCACGAAGACCTGGGCTGAGGGTACAGAATACTGGTTCAGGCCTTCGGGCTTCAGAGGCTGCATGTGCTTAGGGTTTAGGGTTTAGGGTTTAGGGTTTAGGGTTTAGGGTTTAGGGTTTAGGGTTTAGGGTTTAGGGTTTAGGGTTTAGGGTTTAGGGTTTAGGGATTGGGGCAGCATGCGGAGGACCTGCATGTGTACTAGTGGCACGAGACCAGCTGCTTCAAAAGGCCTTTTCTTGTGGAGCACCTATTCTAGTCCCATGAGAAACCAGGAATACAAAAGGTGCCCTTTCGTTTTGAAGGGGATTATAAGGGAGCCCAAACCCAAAACAAATAAAGGAATAAAGGCCTACTCTGCGTCCTGGCTATGGTGAGTACAATATGACAATATACTAAAAGAACACTGTGGTCATACAACAAAAGAGCAAGTACAATTCAGGGTCTACGAAAAGCTTTGGGGTGGTGGGTTTTGTTTCGGGGCTGAGGGCTTGCATTGTCGGTTCGTTCCTCTTAGAACTACCCCCCAAGGCCAGGACGGTCTAGGGACCCTTAAACCCTAAACCCTAAACCCTAAACCCTAAACCCTAAACCCTAATTAATCCTACACCCCAAACCCGAAACCCTGAACCCCAAACCCGAAACCCTGGCCCGGTCCATGCGGTATGCTACGTGGCCTCGGGCGCTTTGCAAAGGGCGGGATGGGGGGGGGGAGGGCAGAATCTGTTGGTGCGTGCTGTTGTTTACGGCTTAGGGCTGAGGGCTGAGGGCTTAGGCCTTAGTGCTTCATGTTTAAGGCTCTTCTCGGATCCTACTTGGGCCCGCCTATCAGATTAGGGTTTGATCTAGTGTTTGAGGTTTGGGTCGTGTATCTTTCTTGGGTCAGGGTTGATCCCTGAGAGTGGAGGTGGTTGCGCTTCAAAACGTTGGCGGCGTGAGTTGCAGAACCCTAAACCCTAAACCCTAAACCCTAAACCCTAAACCCTAAACCCTAAACCTGTAAATTACAACATGCCTGGCTGTTCATTGGCTCGGAAATTCTGCAACTTACAGCTTTCTGGCTGTTCACTGGCTGCCAACACTGCATATTCCACGTCTTCCAACTGTTCACAGGCGCCAGACGCTGTAAATCACGGCGTTTCAAGCCAGAGCATCTTCAACACGTGCGAAATGCTGCAATGCTGCAATTCAAAATATTTCCAAGTGTCAGGCAAAAGTTACACAGAAGCTCACGAAGCACAAGCTAACTTCTGTCATGTACAGCAGTACTGGCTGTGCACAGGAACATGCCTGAAAGTATTGCATTTGCAGGTCATTGACACCTTCAAGCAAAGACGCGACTTCAGAATTAGTTCAACGTGCCCAGGTTTCAGCGCTACCATATGAACCACTTTCATCCTAGGAGCAGCACTACAAGGCGAAACGAACATACAAAAAATGAGAATCACATGATGAAGAACGGAAAGAGAAATCGAGAATGCAGTGCAGTTACACATGAGAGTCACAGTGTAAACTACCAAACAAAAAGGAACCACAACCGCAATACCACGAACTAACAATACGCGTCAGAGTAGTACAAGGAATTTGGACAGTTCGCCAGTACTATACCTCCCCGAAGGGTCCATGTACATTTAGGTAATACTTGAGCCTTAAAGTACCCCCCCCCTATTTACGGACTTTAGGGCCCAAGAACATAATGATAAGGTACATGGCCCCTTAGGGATACTTCTGCCCGATTCTTCCTTGGTCCCCAAACCCTTCATATAGCAAGGACAGCCCTTGGCAATTAGGGCTTAGCTTAGGGTTATGTAGGGTTTAAGGTTGTAGAGTTTAGGGTTATAGGGTTTAGGGTAGGGTTTAGGGTGAGAGGGTTATAGGGTTATAGGGTTTAGGGCTTCCTGGGGTGGGTCTTGGAGCATGATTTCAGGTTCTGTTTTGGTGCATAGGGTTAGATGGATAGGGTTTAGGGTTAGGGTTTAAGGTTTAGGGTTTAGGCCCATAGAGCTTTATAAGAACTATTCCACGCCAACCCCAGTCGCATACATGGGGGTGTTGAGGCTATCGAGGCTTTATGTGAGCTTTAGCTGCTTCGGAGGATTTGCTGTAGGTTTTACAGAGCGTTCAGGCTTTAACAGGCGTTTGTAGGGTTCAGGGATCGGAGCGCTTAAGGGCTTATGAACTTTAGACCCTGCATTGAATTCCCCCAATCATTCTAAACCCTTCATAAACCCGAGACCCTCAACCCTAACCCAAAACCCTAACAAGCCAACCCTAAACTGCTAACCGCAGCCCCTTGAGCTGCGACCCGGCCACGATACTCAAGACTGGATTTGCGGTCGCAGATCTCCTGCACGCTCGGATGGCGGGCGAGATCATGGACCAGCCGAATCTCCTGCAAACGTAGCAGGTTCGACAGGCCTCCAACCCTCCTCAACCCTTCATAAACCCTAAACCTGAACCCTTCATAAAACCCTAAACCTAAACCCTTCATTCATAAAACCCTAAACTCTGAACCCTAAACCCTCGACCCTAGTAAAGACAGCCCTAAACTGCCTCTCACCCCAAAAGCCCGGCCGGGGTTTCGGCTAAGGCCTAGTCAGCTACCAATGTGTCAACCAGCCCTCCATTCGGAGAAACTTCGGACGAAACTCGTTAAGATGCCTCCAAAGGACAAAGGCTTCAACTAGATACCCGAAGGACGAAAGATCCCAATGAAAGTAGACATCCTTTGGGTACTTAAGGTTTACTAGAGGCAATGGTCTCGCCAACCTTTCTGCCCGTCGTAGGGGTAACTCTGTCAGGGCTCAAATGAATCTTCTAGAGACACGAACTTTAATCAGGGTCTGCAGTGGGGGTGTGGCCAGAAGGGGAGGCGCTTAAGAGCACACATTGAGCCCAACCCAAACACAAGAAAGAAAGTCCTAAGCCCAAAACGCTACGGTACATGTCTACAAGGATTGCAAGGAGATTGTGATGGCAATGCTGTAGCAGAACTCAGATCCGGATTCGGACCCTTAACAAAAACCGAAACACAGGTCCTCGGCGTTGAGAAGGCCGGCGGCTACGATGAAGCCTCCAAGAAATGGTCGTTAGTTACAGGAGGTTGCAGTAAACTACACAAAAAAATGCGCTGCCTTAGGGGCCATCAAAACCCTAAAGCCTAAACCCTAAACCCTAAGAATATCAAGCTTTGTTTTTATGTTGCCCTCATCGAGCCATGGGATGTTCCCCCTTATACTAACAGCCCTTCATAGGGAATATCATAGGGCACTATAATCCCTACTCAGGACTGCTAGTATAAGGGGGAGCATCCCAAGCTGACAATCCCAAACCCTACACCCTAAACTCTAAAAACCCTAAACCCTAAACCCCTAAAACCCCACACCCTAAACTCCAAAGCCCAAACTCCGAAAACCCTTCGGGAGCCGGCCTCGTCGACGCCTGGGGGCTGAGTGGAGCTCGTGGCGCCTGGGTTTGCACAAACAAGGGTTTAGGGTTTAGGGTTCAGGCTTCAGGCTTCATGGTGTAGGGTGTAGGGTTTAGGGCTTCGGCACAAGCCACGAGGCTGTGGCATCTTGTTCGGCTAAAGAGTTTGCGGTTAAGGTGAGTCGGTAGAGGTGAGTTTCTTCCCATGTAAACCCTAAACCCTAAACCCTAAACCCTAAACCCTAAACCCTAAACCCTAAACCCTAAACCCTAAACCCTAAACCCTAAACCCTGACCCTAAACCCTAAACCCTAAACCCTAAACCCAATGAGATGTTCTGAAGGTCCGAGTCCGGGTGCTATAGTGTAGGGGTCCTGCAAGCGCTTGTGATGCGTTCCGAATATGAGGGGAACAGGGAACCCAGAAAACTCTCAGACTCAGCCCAGCCAGGGCAAACACCCCACAGGCCAAAAGCCCAAAACCCACAACCCTCCTCCCCGCATGCTGGAGTTTAGGGTTTAGGGTTTAGGGTTTAGGGTTTAGGGTTTAGGGTTTAGGGTTTAGGGTTTAGGGTTTAGGTATGGCCGAGCTGCGTGGGCGCCGAGAGCTCTGTCCTAGCTCGGCAGCGGCGGTTTAGGCTTCAGGGTTTGGGGCTTCTGAGGGCCCAACTACCCCCCCCTCTGGAAGACAAGGCCCGGAAATGTTAGGATAGGAGAATACCACAATGCCAACCCTAAACCCTAAACCCTAAACCCTAAACCCTAAACCCTAAACCCTAAACCCTAAACCCTAAACCCTAAAAAAACTTGAAACCTGCTTTTTGGAAGGTTGCCGAAGAAGCCTAGAAGGGGCTAATAGCAATAGCCTACAAAACAAACTTAAGTCGGTTGTGGTTCCTTGAGGTACGTACACCCTTTACCCTGAACAACGTCATGCTTACACACCAACCCTATACCCAAAATCCCAGAAGCGGATATGCCTACACACCGACCGTAAGCTCTAGACACCGTATTGCCTACACTCTAACCCTAGACCCTAAACACAAAACCCCGAACACACGAACCTAAACCCTAAACCCTAAACCCAAAACCCAAAACCCAAAACCCTAAACCCTAAACACTAAACCCTAAACCCTAAACCCTAAACCTCTAAGGCATCTCAGGGCTTGGGCAGTCCTGAGTCGCTTCTGCACCTTGAACTTCAGGCGCCACTTGCGCACTCGCCGCTTGGCCTAGAGAGTCTTAGGGGTAAGGGTTTAGGGTTTAGGGTTTAGGGTTTAGGGTTTAGGGTTTAGGGTTTAGGGTTTAGGGTTTAGGGTTTAGGGTTTAGGGTTTAGGGTTTAGGGTTAGTGTGTTTGGGGTTGAAGGTTTCTTCCTAGACCCTAGACCCTAGACCCTAGATCCTGGACCCTATATAGACCCTAAACCTTATACCCCAAACATCCAGCACCCCTTGCCACACAATCTAAGTAAGACCCCACTCCTAAACCTAAACCCTAAACCCTTCCTAACCCCTAAACCCCAAACCCTAAACCCTCGAAACCCTCGAAACCCTCGAAACCCTCGAAACCCTCGAAACCCTCGAAACGCCCATGCGAAGGCTCTTCTGTAAACCACAAAATGAAAACCCTAGAGCTTGAACCCTGAAGCCAAAACCTGAAAACCCTAAACCACCCCCCCCCAAAAAAAACACCTGAATCCTGAAACAAAACACCTTGAAACCATTATGAACTATAAACCTCAAAACCCAAAACCCCAAAAAAACCCTAGCTGTAGCACAACTTGAACCCGAACATCCCGGAACCCTTCAGCTTGAACCTGAAACCTCAGAGCCCTCAACCCCTAAACCTCTCAACCCCTAAAACCCTAAAACTCTAAACCCCTTAAACCCTAAACCCCTAAAACCCCGAAACCCCTAAACCCATATATAAACCCCTAAAACCCTAAACCCCTAAAACCCTAAAACCCTGAACCCTTAAACCCTAAAACTCTAAACCCCAACACCCCCAAAACCCAAAAACCCTAAACCCCTCAACCCCTGAACCCTAAAACTCTGAACCCCTACGGCTAAAAACCCTAAAACTCTGAACCCCGGCCCCCCCTGGCCGCCTTGCAGGAGGGCTCGCCCGAACATTCGGTGCTGGAGTCCTGCGGGGTTTAGGATTTAAGGTTTAGGGCTTGGGGTTTAGGGTTTGGGTGTATAGGGTGCAGGGCTTGGGGCTTCGGGTTGAGGGGCTTGCAAGATAGCTCTGCTGCTCCAGTACACTAAACCCAAACCATAAACCTCAAACCCCAAACCCCTAAACCCCAAACCCCTAAACCCCAAACCCTAAACCCTGAAGGGTTTGACCAGAAACCCCAAACCCAAACCCAAAACCCTAAACCCCAAACCCTAAACCCTAAACCCCAAACCCTAAACCCTAAACCTTATGCTTGGCCACAGAAGTCTTGACATGACCCATACAGGCCTATACACTAGTTGGAATTCGGAATTCACGCTTTGGAGGTTTAGGTTTCGTGAGCGAGGCCAAAGCAGGGTTGAGGGTTTAAGGGTTGGGTTGGGGGTTTCGGGTTTGGGGTTTAGGGTTTAGGGTTTGGGGTCTAGGGTGTTTAGGGTTTAGGGTTTAGGGTTTAGGGCTTAGGGTTTAGGGTTTAGGGTTTGGGGTTTAGGGTGTACGGATGGAAAGTTTGGGGGATCTTGGGGAACATAGGGGCCTCGTGCTGCTGGCACCCCTGTTGATTTAGGGACCCGAGCTATGACAAAAAAAAACCATCCTAAGGACTTAAACTCTTGGCGAGTGTAAGGCCGGAAGCCACTATAGAGAGTCCTAAATGCCCTCAACCCCCACAAGTGGGCGGGGTTCGGGTTTAGGGTTTAGGGTTCAGGGTCTAGGGTTCAGGGTGTAGGCCCGAAATCCATGGCCTCGGAGAGGCTCTCGTCTTCGATTCCGGGAATCGGAACCTCAGCTATC